AGCGGCGGTGGTGTCCCTGCTGCCCGGGCTGCCTCCTTCCACCTGCCGGGCAAAGGAAACCTGGTGAGCCCGGGGGGGAGAGGGAGGGGGTGACACTCGCAGGGACGGTGTGGCCCTCCCGGCTGCCAAAGGAAGCCATGAGGCCACAGACAAGAGCATATATGGTGGCAGTCACCCTCGGGAGAGGTCCCATGTGCCAGCACTGCTCAGCAGCATGGCAGATGGGGCCAGGGGTGCACAGAGAATATCTCTGGGTGGGCTGCGGTTTGATGTTTTGGGGACTCCAGCAAGACAAGGGTGAGCAGAGGCCCCTGACCGCTCCACTTCGCCACCTGCCCTCCCAGTGCTGCTGCCTGGGGACAGGTTTTGCTGGACTGCAGCTCGGTAGAGCCATCGGGCAGCAGGGCCACAGGAGGACAGAGCCACCACGTCACCTGGGCTGCGTCCGTGGTGCCGACCCGGTGGGGAGTGGAGCCGTCTGCTTCAGGCTTCTTCACGCCCGGCCCCAGGCCGACAGTCACAGCATCTGTTTTCGGGGCTGATGACTGCAGAAGAAACAGCAAGTCAGGCACCAGGGCACAATGCCAACAGCCCCCAGGAGCGGAGCATCCCTGCCCCAACTCTTCTGCAAGTGCCCCACATGTATGATGTCCTGCAAGCATCACGCCGAGCCCTACCTGGGCAAAAAGCAGAGGCCAGGCTGCTGCCCTGGGCAGATGGCCACCACGCAAAGTGCCCTGTGGGACTGACGTCCCCAAACCAGACCTCATGCTCTGGCCCTGAGGGTTTCAAGGATTTTTTGCATAGATTTATAGACACCATGGGTTAGGTCAAACAGGTCTTCAAAAGGTGGGTGAGACCCACCAAATCCATTTCAGTCGTGCCCCGCAGCAGGTTCATGGTCTGCACCAGCTCCTGGTGGCTGTGGTTCCAGCAGGGGTGTCAGAACCTCAGGGGACTGGAGACAAGTTTCCAGCACTCCCCTGCTACAGGACACTGGACCTGCCAAGGGTTCTGGCACAGGCCGGCGCTCAGCACTCCCGAGCCAACAGTCCCCTGTCCAGTGCCGGCCATGGGGCACGCCGAGCTGTCACCCATGCCCACGGCCCCGCTGTGACCCTGGAACCCACAGGGTTGGATGCTCCACACAAGGGTTTCTGGCTCAGAGAAAGCTCCCTTGAATTCTGCGGCTTTTTCCTGGCTCCAGGTCTGGACTCACCCTGGAAGCTCCAGGCAGCGTTGGGGACTTACCTGCCAGGGCTGGAGGGTGCCCTGGCGCTGGCCGGGCAGGAGATGGCCCCAGCCTGGTGCAGAGGCAAGGCTACATCTCCTCTGAGCTGGGGCTGGCTCCACTCTCCTCTCCCCGGGGCACCCATTCAACTTCCACGCGCATGCTGCATGCATTTTCCTTAGCCCCGGCACAGGAGGGACCTTCCACGAGCTCTGGAGCAGCTCCCCCAGCTGCTCCGAACATCCCTCCCAGCCCTGGCACGACCAGAGGGGTTAGTGGGCAGCACATTTCTCTCCACTACACAAACCGGTCACTTCATGCCAAACACAAGGACAGAGCTGTGGGTTAGCGACACGGGCCCTTCGCCGCTGCTGACATGCTGCAGCGAGGGACAGGGCAGACAGCCGGGCACAGGATGAAAAGGTGACGGTGACTTCTCCTGGTTAGCAGATGCACAGGACACACGACAGGGCCATGCAACACAGACGACAGCGTGCACTGGGGGAAAACAGCTACACCGACAGGAACCGGGGCGTCTCAAAGCTAGCATGCTCTTCCAAACCAACGTGGGAGGGCACACCAGCAAGGACAAGGAACACGGAGGCATGATGGCAATGAGACAGTCTCGGTGGAATGGTGTCCCTGTGTACCTCTGCCTGGGAGACATCTGAGCTGGGCTGGGAGACCTTCTCCCCACCTTTGACATCCTCTTCCAGTCTGGGAACTGTTTTGTCAGTGTGCCGGAAGGAAACCAGACTTTCGTCTTCCGTTTCACTCTTGTCTTTGTCCAGCTCAGGCAGGCTCCGGGAGATGTCCTCAAAGGCTGTGCCATGGAAGTCACCGATGACTGTGAAGTCCACCTCTGCCTCCAGGCTGGAGGTTGAACTGACCGTGATGCTGGAGCATTTGCGCTCAATGGCCAGGTGGTTGTCCTTCAGAAAGACCGAGTCCTTCTCCTGGTCCTGCTCCTCGTCGCCGGTGTCACTCTCGGGAGCCCTGTGCCGAGGTGGTTTAGCTTTCTCCTCGACGCCCTCCCTCAAGCCCGCTCTCTGAATGAGACACAATGGCGGAGAGAGATGGGGACAGTGAGCACCGTGTGGCGCCCAGCGCTGGCAGCGCCGGCGGGGCAGAGGGGAGGAGGAGGAGGAGGCAGAGAAGGCTGCAGCAAACATCACAGAGTAGAGTCAAACACAACTCAAGCATGGAGACTGAAACCTTTCTGACAGCAGCGACTTTGCAGGGGTGGGGTGGAGGGAGAAGGGTTATTCAATCTCATTTTGCCAAAAGTCTATTGGTAATGAAGCATCTCAGAAAAGGGTCAGTCACACAGAAAAGCTTGGCCAGCTTGGAGGCACGTCAGTGCACCCGGTGGAAGGAGATGTATGCAAAACAACAGCTCTGTTAGGAGACGTTCAGAAACAGCTCAGACGCCAGCGCTATCGTATGTCAGTAAGGTTGGGCACTCAAAAAAAACCAAACAAACAAACAAAGGGAAAGAAAGAGAGAAGAGTTTGAAAGAACAGGGCCTCATCAGCCACGCACGGTGAAGGAGAAGCGAAGGAGTGTGCCAATTCCACTGAGCATCCGCGTGGGTCCTGCAGAGCATCGCCCCGCGGGGAGGAAGACCAGCCCCTCCAGGGCTGCACACCAGCCCCACACCCTGGGGCGGCTGCCGGTGCCAGGGGGTGAATCTGCCCCACCAACACAACACTCCCCTTCCAGAGGCCTCACGCAGCCAGATATGAGAGTTAGCGATGACCTGGTTGAGTGTTTGGTCAGTGTAATTGACAGCACGACCAGAGCCAAGGGATAACCTCCCTCTGTTAGCTCTTCTCCAGACATGGACATACCTCTCAACTCTGCCATCAGAGGGTACATTTCCCCTCACCATGCTTTGCCATGAAGCCATGGGAAGTCTAGACTGATTTCTGGACTTTGGGAAATCTAGACTCATTTCTGGACTTTGGGAAATCTAGACCCACTGCTGGACTTCGCATCTCGCTCTAGTCAGCTCTCCCTTAGGACCAGCTCTAAGCCCACTGATGCCAGAGGAAACCCATCTCCTGGACTCTGGTCCAAGTGTCTGCAGCCAGAGCCATCCCCGCAACGGGCCAGGCTGTGCCGGCACAACGTTCCCTTGGCGCTGCTGGGAGGTTGAGAGGTATGAGAAACAGGGTGTCAAACAAACTCAAGAAGAACACACCTGCATACATGTTTCCGTGTGTGTGTGCATGTATAAATATATACATAACAGCTCTGCAATGGGAGAGGAGCTGGAAGCACACAGCCCTCAGCTGGTTAAGGTGAGCTTTCATACTGGCGTAAGAAGCAGTTAGTAAAACAACACTGAGACCTGGAAGACCGCTGGAAGAGCAGTCTTTAAATTCTCTTCTTTCAGGCTGGATTTTACTGACGGGTCAGATAAATCCTTTTCTTCCCCACTTGGTTCCTGAGATTTGCTCTGGATTAGAGAAAATGGTTAGTTGTAAGGAAATGAACTCTACAGGAGCTGATCTAGTGCTTACAAGAGCGAAGAAAGCTACTTCATCATCCAGCCACCAGCTTGCCGAAGACAGGGGAGGGTGGGTGAGGCTGGCCAGCTAAGCAAGAAGGGATACCAACGTAAGAAATGCAAGGGTGAAGCCGGAAGCGTGGGCACGCTGCTGCTAGGTGTGTGTGCGTGTCCGTGACAAGAGTTGCAGCTCCTTCAGCCACCCCCCATCTCCCTTTCTTGCTCCTGGACATGAAGCTTGGGTGCCCGCTCTTGGGTTTAGCGAGCGGCATTCTCCAGGAAGCCAAAATGTTGGGGTTGGGGAGGGTGTCACAAAACAAAAGCTGATGAACCAACTGGCCAGCGGGTCTGCATTCAGCAAAGAAGCCTGACCACATACACATACATAGAAGGACAGGGGATGCAAAGCGACTGCTGTCAGTCAATGGATGTGTTCAGCCACTGAACATGATAATAAAGAGCCACACAACATGCGCATGAACTTTCCGTCTGGACAGTTCATTGGAAGAGTTACCACGGCTTCTGCCAGTGTGAGTTCACAGCCAGAGTCGGGGGAGGCCAGGTCAGCACTGTCTTCTCCTTCCTGCTCCAGGTCAACAGAAACATCTTCCTTCAGCGAGAGAGGCTGGGACGTGTCTCCCGAATCAGCCCCTTGCCCAAGGGCCAAGGAGCCCACGCTGGACGCAGGTCCCACTGGCGTGACCGGCACCGCTGGCAGAGAGGCGAGGTCCTGAGCCAGACCCGTCTTCCCCTTCGCTTTTGCTGATGTCTCAGCTTCAGGCACACGCTCTTGTCCCTCCTGGGCTGCCCTTCGCTCTGCTTCACTCTGCTCAAACATCTTAATCTTAGAGGCCACAGAGGTTTTCCTGTAGGTCTCACTGTCCTGCCAGCTGCCTGGGGCCACAGTGACATCTCCACGCTCCTGGGACACAGCTCCTGTCCTCCCAGCCACACACACCAACATCCCAGGCTCTGTCTGACGTGTCCCACTGCTCGCTTGCAGCTCTCCCTCGCCCTTATGGATCAAGGTGGAGAGCTGGTACGTCTTGCTTCCTTGACACAAGCCTGCTGCAGGGGAGGGGGAGTGCAGGACATCAGCAGCTTCTTTGGCAGGAGACTTATCCTGTGGTGGCTGCCCCGGAGCAAGGTCGCTGTCCCTGGTGGTTTCTCCTGCTGTAGGGCTCTTGCCCTGCAGATCTTGTCCCACACTAACCTCCAAGTCCCCGGGTGGCTCTTGCGCTTTGAGATCTGCAGTGTGGAGCTGACCTCCAGCCACAGGGCCCTCTTGGGGCAGGTCTCTTATGGCCTCAGTCTGTTGTTCTGGTTCTTCTGCCTTGGGAGGCAGCTCTTCCATGCAATGGCTTTTGTCACGGGACAATTCTTCCATCCCACAGCCTTCATCTCTGGTCAACTTCCCTGCTGCGGGCCCTATGTCCTGGGAGAGCTCTTTTATCACGGGCTTCTCCTCCCGGACTGGCTCTTCTGTGGCAGGGGCTTTGCTCTGGGCTGCCCTCGCTGTGACAGGGTCCATGTCCCAGGTCACCTCCCCTGTGGCTGGGTCTCTGACCTGGATCAGCTCTGCTGTGATGTCTGTGTTTTGGGGAGGTCCTCCTGCAACAGGACTTGCACCTTGCTGTGGTTTCCACATAGCAAAGCCCATGTCTTGGAGTTGTTCTTCAGACTCAAGATTGGTGCCCCTGGGTATTGCTACCTCTGCCACATGGCTCATGTCCTTGGGTGCTCCTTTGCCTGCCACAGGGCTTTCCTCCTCGTGTGCCACCTCCACCGAGGGGTTCACGTCCACACCGCCTACGGGGCTGGTGCCCCGGGACAGGTCTCTGCCCTCGGGCTCAGTGCCTGGGGCTGGCTCTGCAGGGACAGGGCTGGATTGCTGGGCAAAGCGCCTGGGGGCAGCAGTGCTGGGTTTGTCCCTCTCTGACCCCGTGGTGGCGTGAGGGTGACCCTGCTGAGGCACAGCTGATGGAGGCAACTTGGTCTCTATCTCTTCCATCTGAAGAACCATGCTGGTGCTTTCCTCCTTGTCGCCGTCTGCTGCAACCCCTCCTGAGAGCCCCTCCATCACCGTGCAGGTGTCTGGGCTCTGTGCTGGGGTCCCTCTGTGCTCCTCAGCCGCACGGCTGTCCCCTGCCAGGCCACATGGCTTCAAGCTTCCCACTGGGCTTTGCAGATCCGTCTCCTCCAGGGCGACCTCTCGGGAACATGGTAGGGCTTCACCTCCTTCAGGTGCTTCGCAGTCTGTTAGCCCTTCCTCCCGCCCCAAGGTGGGACGTCTGGCCAGGCTGGTCCCATCACAGCATGTCCCCAGCTGCTCCGCAAAAACAGATGCTGTCCTCTGCTGCTGACTTGCTGAGGAAGGGGGTTGGAACTCTTCTGCTGCAGGTGCTGCGTGCCCAGATCCTTCCCCAGATGTGTTCACGGTGGCTTCTGGTCTCTCCTTCAAGCCAAGCTGTCCCCCAGCCTCCGAGAGCAGGTGTGGTTTACTGTCCTTCTCCTCTCCCTCTGGGTCTCCTAAGTAGATGATCCTCTGGGTGGCAGAAGTCTCCGAGCTCTCATCACTAGCCTTCACTTTCATTTTACCCAGCTCTGTGGCTGCGGCCGGCACTCTGGCCTCCTGCTTCCTGGAGGCTGCAGAAGCACGGTCCTTAGAGCCCACCTCGCTTTCTCCCTGGGGAGGCTCTGGCCCCACCATCTTGACTCTTTGCCTCTCTTCAGGCTGCTGACATGGCTTGGGCAGACCCAGCTCGCTGGTGGGTGCTTCCTCGCCCCACCCTCGGGGCTCCTCCTCTGCGCTCTCGGCTGGCAGGCGCTCTGCCTCCTGGCTGGGCTCCCCCCTGGTCTCCTTCTCATAGATCTCATCCTCCCAGACAGACTCAAAATCCTCTGGACTAGCGATCATTTTGGCTCTCGTCCGGGTATCCAGGGCTGCATCTATTGGCTCTTCCTGGCCTGCCA